CGAGAAGCTGACTCGGCGATGTTGATGGCGTTTCCGCGTTACAATTACAACATGACACAATAGCCGAGACCTCTTTTCGAAACATAGTTTTTGTTACGGAATATTAAGTAATGATAAACTAACCCAAATTCCGCGGTATGTGACAGGTGGAAGAAAAAATTGTTAAACGCTGCGGATTATTTATTGACAGAAAAGTTTTTTTTGGGAGCATTACCAGGCGGTATCATTAGAAACGAAGAAATAATTGTAGAAATAAAACGTCCGTATACAGCTTTGAAACAAAAATATACACACGAGGAAGTCATAAAAAGAAACTAATAGCGTTTTGGAAAATTAAATACGAAAGTGTTTTCGGAATTAATAAAAATCATGACTGGTTTTATCAAATCCAGAACAAGCTGCACGTAACCAACAAGCAAAAATGTTTTGTTATGTGTGTGGACTGGAGCAAACCTATTGAAAACAGAAATAATTCAAAAGGACGATGAATTCTGATGGTAGGAAAAAATGGAGTCGAAGTTGGAGAAATTTTAAATGAAGGCACTACTTCTGGAAATAATTGATCCAAGAGCGTTCAGAAGTATGCCACTAAAGGAGATTCAATTAAATTAATTAATAAGAATTTTTACAAAATAAATAGTTATTTATTATAGAAAACGATAAAATTGAATTTTATCTTTGACAGTAATTAATATTCTCAAAAAGATAATGAAAATTTTATTGTCGTGTACAATATAAAATTTTATTCAATCCTCACTAATTTTGTAGTCAATTTGGTCGATATTTATAAATGTAAAAGTAAAATTCAACAATCAAATCTAATGTGAAAGATCGTTAGCAACTAACAACCGCAGATATACAATTAATGTATTTTTTATCATTCAGACGATAAAATTTCATTTTAACATAGAGAAAAATTATTTCCTTTGATTTTTATTTATTTGTTATTATTTATAACCAAGGTGAAATAACTTCCTTATAAGTAAACTAAATTGACAATTATCTAGATAATATTAAAAGAATCTTACATTAAAAAGAATTTATACCTGAAAGCACCACAACAAAACCGTCTCCGTAAAATTTCAAAATCATACAGATAACTAGCGTGCGACAATTTGGGTGTTGTAAATTATGTTTTTCCACTAATTTCCACTATGACTGCTACCGATGACAGCTGAACCAGTGTTGTAAAATTCTGAAGGCCAAGTTTGCTCCGGACGGGCCATAGGAAGTGCAATAAGGTTTGGGACCTTTCAGATAATATTGAAAAAAAGAAGACATTTCCTTATTTGAAAATTAAATAATCAAAAGGAATTAAAGAAATAACTGGATACAACTTCTTACACAAAATAATAAAATCAACATAAAATTAATTCTCACGTATCTAATCCTTTATTGCCTGCGTCAAGTGCAGAATGTAACTTCTTTGAAGGATATTTCTTGATGTCTACATAGTGAATCCCAAAAACCACATTACACTTACTATTTAGAAATTAACTCACATTTGCACCGGTTTAATTTTTAATTAAGTTTGGAATAATTTGGGCCTCTGATTGTGGATAAAATGTTATATTGCAGTCGTGTGTTAGTCGCGTTTTATCCACTTAAGAAAATTAACCGCTCGAACTGACGTTCTCGCGGTTAAACATTCTTGCGTAGATAAGACTCTACCTAACACACTATTACAATAAATAACTATTATTTCGTCGATTCACACTAAGTAATTATGTACCTATAAGTTTTATACGCAGATCTCTTTTTAAATTACCAATACCTCACCTCACTAAGAAAAAAAAAGGATTGCTCTGTAAAACTTCTTTAATAAGAGCAAAAATTAAAATGGATAAAATTTAAAGAAAACATTTTATTCAAATTCTAACAATTTTTACATTAATTTTGCTATATTGACTTTGTACGCATTTGTGGTTAATTCTTGTAGTAACAAACAGAAATTTAACTTTTTTGATGAGATTATTATCTTAATTGCAGTGATTTATTAATGACTTAAAAGTAATGAGTAAATAAATAAAAAACGATGGTTAATATAATAAATAATAAAGCTGAAATTTGTTGATAAGTTTTAATTTAATTATGCATATCGTAAGCTGNATGAGTAAATAAATAAAAAACGATGGTTAATATAATAAATAATAAAGCTGAAATTTGTTGATAAGTTTTAATTTAATTATGCATATCGTAAGCTGCAAAAAAAGACTAGGTAGAAAACCTCCGTGGCAAATTTTTATATGGAGTGCTAAAAGTTGAAATGACGGCCCAATATACAATACAATAAAAATATGTATAAAAACTACTTGTCACTTAATGTAGTATTTTTTTTAAAGGAGTTTGTTTCCTCTGTTGAGATTGTGACGTCAGTTGAAATCGTGATGGTTTAATAACCGAAAAAAAATCTAAAATAGTATATTAAAGTACAAGTTGCAGAAGGTTTCAAGCATAAATTGGAAATTCAGAAACGAGCCGCGTAGCGGCGAGTTAAGGAACAAATGAGTGCTTGAAGAACCTTCTGCAACAAGTGCTTTATACAATTTTTTTCTATTTTGCCGCTTTATATCATTTTATAAAATAAAAAACGAAAATTTAATTTATTTTCTAGAGAATTTTGCGACGGTTGGCGACATTTAGGTATGTGGAATAATTTTAGGCGGCTGTACAAAATAAAAATAATTCATATTTTCACATTTCAAAATGAATTGTGAGGAAAATCAGTCACTAAAATTAAATTACCGCGAACGACTTATTCCAGCACTCAAATAACGTCATTTGGGTGCTGGAATAGACTTATTCTAACACCGAAATAGAAAAAAGTTTTTAGATGAACGCCTTCAGAGGCTGCTTGTAATTTTAATTTTTGTTTTTCTATTCGTTTCTGTGCACCAAATTTATACTTATATTTCGATTTTTCCGTTTATTTATGCCCACTAATAATACCTAATAAAAAAAAATAAAAACTTAAAATTAAATTTATTTAAGTAAAAACGATATTTTATATCGGTTGATTAAAAAATGTGTGGCATAATTTTAATTACGAACACCCCTCTACAATTGAGAATAGATAGTACAGTATTTATTGACCCAACTCAAAAAATAGAAAAATTACAACTTTCCAAAAGTCGTTATGAAAAAATGATTTTCTGGAAATATATTTTTGTTACCGTTTATCCGATTATTATTAAATTTTGCATAGACAAAGAGACACTCTTTGATTTGGTGTCAACGGAAGTCTTGTAGAAGCTATACATTTCCGGGAGCAATGGGTCATTCCAGTGTTGGGATCATAACTTTTTTTCGGATTATTAATTTCTGTTTTTGATACAGTCCAAACACTTTTTTTAATAAAAAGGGTAGTTTCATATCGCCAAAATGTACCGTTCTCGAGTTATTTAAGTTTAAAGTAAATTCTACACCGCCCTACAAAATCAGAATTTTTAAATTTTGAGCGTACCTTGGAAAGAATCCACTACGAATGACATCGCTGTCAATGCTGTCATATTTAAGTAAATTTCATTAAATCCAAAGGAACATTTGTTTATTTCTTGATGATTATAAAAGCTGAAATTTTTCTAGTGCTTGATGAATTGGATTACTGTGTTATCTATGCTCATTTGTAGAGGAGTATTCGTGATTAAAATTATGACACAAATTTTGGAATCACTTGTATAAATCTGCGCGGAATTTTTCTTACATGCGTGTAATAAGACCTTGATTGAGCTAAAATAATTGAAATTATAGAAATTATAGTTTTATTTGGTATGATGCTAATTTTTTAATTCCTTCAAACTAAACACACTTATATAGCTTCTGCGAAAATCGCGGTTCAGCACTTCGTGGATTACCTCTATGCATTGTGGAAAGTTTATTTACAAATTCAAAATAATTGATATTATTTCAATGAGTTCTTGACATAATAAGCCTACCATAATTGGGGGCCCGTAAGTCCGCCCCTGCTCCGTGGTATCTGAATACTCGGATTAATACTAATATGAAAAACTGGACGGGTTTTTTGTTGAGGTTTCATTACGACGGTGTTTATATAAACAAACAACTGCATCGGTTTGTAAAATGATGTCATTCAAGGACGAATTGGAGCTTCTCATTATGAAACAATCGACACCAGAGGGCTCATATTTTAAGTAAATATTTTTAGTTATAACACTGAACGCTAGAGGGATTTGGTGGCGGACTCTGGTGGAGAGTTGATTCGTTTCGTTACAAAAATTAACATTGCGTGATTCATTTTATAATATTTCATCTATGCTTAGAGTCGAACCACCATCTTTACTACATCGTGGTTACCAAATGGCAGCCTCCATGCCTCCACCTGCATTTTCAGTGGGTGCATAAGCCTTTCATTTTATTTAACGAATTCCGTGATGTTAAATAACAGTCTTGAAATTGACAAAATTTCTTACAAGCCCCAACCGATCAGCTACCTTAACTTTAAAAAAATCCTCTCTTCAGCAAAGTAAATAATTATTTTTACTTTTTAAAAGAAGGTCGACAACTTACAAAATTACCCAAGAGAATCTACTTTGACAAAAAAAAAGGTCTTTCAAATTAAATAAAACTGTAAAATATTGTAGAATTCTGAACATATTTGCTAAGTTTTGGGACATTCCAAGTAGATGTCGCACACGCCGGCAATGGCCGGCAACCGTCAACGAGCAAATTGTTAGTGAAACATCATTTGTTAGAAATTCGTGTCATGGATTAGAAATAATACGAAAACATTAATGTAAGTGTTAAAATTGGCGAATTTTGGACCTCGACTAAAACATTTTTCGGACAATCATGTTGTTAATTTCCCTTTTTCCCCACTTGAACCAAAACCATGCTGTTTTTCAACATGTGATAGTGTGTTCTTCTAGTTTGCAGATCAATTATTCGACAACAATGTCTGGACCAGACGTTGCGGCTCTTGCTGCCGACTTAGCAAGAGCCGTGGAACTAACAATGAGCACCGGAGCCTCGCAAACCGACAGACTAAAAGCATACAATGCTTGCGAAAGCTTTAAAGAAACTTCACCTCTGTGTGCTGAAGCTGGTCTTTATCTGGCTGCAGGCACACAACATTCCTTGATTTCGAGGCATTTCGGCTTGCAGTTGATGGAACACACGGTGAAATATCGGTGGACACAGATTTCCCAGCAGGAAAAAATCTTCATCAAGGTGAGATTGCTTCATATTGCATCAGCTGTTGTTTTAATCTCATTCTTAGGAAAATGCAATGAAGTTGCTTGCTGCTGGCGGTATTAGTGACGAACCCCATATGAAGGATGCTTTAAGCAGAGTAATTGTGGAAATGGTGAAGAGAGAATGGCCACAGCAATGGCCAGGATTGCTGTCAGAGCTGTCTGAAGCTTGCTCCTGTGGGGAGATTCAAACTGAATTGGTTTTGCTAGTGTTTTTGCGATTAGTTGAAGATGTTGCCTTATTGCAGGTAGGGTGAAATTTGGATTATTTTTTTACATAATACATACTCTCAATTCCTCTGTTTTTTATCTTTTGTACATATTTTAGACAATGCTCTTGATAATTATTAGATTTCTTGTAAAATACTGAAACTGCAGAATGCGTAAAAGCGAGCGGAGCGAGTGATTTTATGACTAGGGAACCATCAAAATCAACCGTCAAACGCTTTATTACTCGTATTATAGACATAAAAATAGTTTGTTAATGTCTGACCTTCGCCAAATTTTCATAATTTTTTTTCTGCACAATTTGTACTGCTTGGTTTCATTCAACATTTAATTAAAAATACCTGTGAATAAAAAATTGTGTGAATATTGTAAATTGTATTTGTTAATGGATGTGGGGTGTTAAATAATACGAGTACAGTTGCGGAATTAAAATTTTGGACAGTACTGTCATTTTCATAATGTAAACTCTAAAACAACCTTTATAATAATAAGTTCATTTTTTACTCTTGTCATATTTATGTCATTTTGACTTATTTACTTTCAAAAATAGTGATTTGTGGCATAATAACGTGTAAGCAGCAGATCAAAGCAATGATTTAATTACACTTAGTTCACTTAATAAACTTCCTATTACAACCAAATTGTTAATTAACAATTTTAACAACAAAAAAAAGTTTAATTGTCAAATGCCAGTCACGATGACAGTAAAGAGTAGTTTACAGTGAAATTTTTAAAGTGCCAGAAAAATACAGCCCGAAACTTTAATTTTGCAACTGTACCTAACTACAGAAAGTACACTTTTGGTTTCCGCGTTACTATGTGCTAAACCCATACGGGTAGGCAGCAGATCAAAGCGATGATTTAATTACACTTAGTTCAATTAATAAATTTCCTAAGACAGACAAATTGTTTAATTAACAAATTTAACAACAAATAAAAATAAGTTTAATTGTCAAATGTCGGTCGTGATGAGAGTAAAAGGTAGTTTACAGTGAACTTTTTAAAGTGACAGAAAAATACTGCCCGAAATTTTAATTCCGCAACTGTACATATTCGGTTCATTTAAATGAATTTAGTTGGTTTCAAATTTGATGTGTTTACTGTATTAATAATTTACAAGTTATAAATTCCTACGTTTGCTTAATAGAAGAACTTTTTGATCTCGCTGTATTAAAAATCGCAAAAGTGTGTACAATTACGGAATGAAAATTTCTGTCACTTCAAAAAGTTCACTGTAAACTACCTTAAACTGTGATTATGACATTCATGACTGACATTTGACAATTAAAGTTTTGTGTCAGTAACGCTATTTTTTAAGTCAAAATGACATAAACATAACAAGAGTAAAAAATGAGGTTATTAATGTAAAGGWTGTTTTAGAGTTTACATTGTGCAAATGACAATACTGCCCGAAATTTTAATTCCGCAGCTGTACATTTGAGGAGGAGACTTGTAAAAAGCATTTTATCCAGATTTGTTTACAGGAGAGAACTAAAAATTGTCCTTTTAAGAAATAATTTTAATTTTTTATATCAGTGACAATAAATGTGAAAAAATATGAATAAATTGGACACTAATTTTACGGCTGGAATACTTAGGCATTTTACAAAAAAACTTTAAGAACCTTTATCCCAAATTATAAAAACATGAACAAACTGCATTTTGAAAGTCTGCTTCTCATTTGTTATAGTGCGGCAGAACTCCTCTCCAGAAAAAAATGCCAAGATACCAGGAACATAGAAAAAATGTTAAAAAAATTATATCTATAAAAATTTCGACGTTATAAGAGTTCAAATTTTGCACTTTGACTCTATTTATTTCTGTTGCAAAAATAATTTTCCAAGTTTTTTTTTTGCTACAGGTTATTAAAAGAGGAAACAAGAAAGGTGTATCTTAATAGTAACTCTGTTTAATGTTATTTGTTGCTTTTATTGGCAAAATTTTTGTACCTTAGAAATAGACATAAAAAATGTAAAATGTCAAAAAATAATATAATAATTTAAATCATAATTTGACAGATCGAATTTTTTAAACATTTTTTTCATGATCTTGACCTTATCTTACTTAAAATTTTTCTCTGTGGCGAGAGTCCTGAAACATTCTGTATTTTATCGCGACTAGTATATTCGCTTGAATTTGGTGTTGCTAGGATACAAAAGTAAATATGTATCTGCTGTTTTATTGGTTAATATGTTAAAGAGAATTTATTAGGGCATTCAAAAGCAAATACCTAATTTATTCACGGTATTATGCTATCAAGAATTATCACAAGATTTTATACAAAAAGTAGAAAAGGATCTAGACGAACTTATTTTGAACGAAGACTAACAACAAATATTTTTAAGTTTTAATATTTTAGGTAGACTTGGTCATTTAGAGAAAATAAATGTTAAATTTTTTTGACCGATAGGATTTTTTAAACATATTTTCCATGTTTCTGGTATCTTATCTTACTTGAAATTTTTCTCTGGGGCGCGAGTTCTGACAGCCTGTATATTAATTTGATCTTTTTTGCAATTTGGAGAGTTTGCAGGTCAATGCGTGTATTATTATGTCAAAAATTGGCTTTACTCATCACAATAATTTTGAGGAGTGATTAATTATTAATTAATTATTTGATGATCAATTTTAAACTAATAAAAAAAAAACTAAATTTTGTATTAAAAAATACCTGCAATTGTAAACTATTTTCTTATGTTTTATAGAATATCGTATACAATAATGTTATAGGAATAAATGAGCAACTAATAGGATGTGGTATTAGTAGATTTTAAAATTTAACATAAATAGTTTATATTTACATCCGCTGTTATTATGTATTTCACATTTGTCAAAGATAACTTAAGATTTGGGCAACATATTATGTTTTTTTTTATTTAAGTAGATACAAAAGGAACGCCACTTGAGTGATTTTTTTATTTTTTTACAGACATTGGAATCAAATCAGCGAAGAAAAGATATTTATCACGCTCTCACCGCCAATATGGCTGTCATCTTCGATTTCTTTCTTCGTCTAATCGAACTACATGTAAACCAATTTCGTACATGCGGCGAAACAAATAACATATCCAAATCTACCGCTCACGGTAGAGTAGTACAAGTTGTTTTGCTGACTTTGACGGGTTTTGTTGAATGGGTTTCTATGTCGCACATCATGGCCCAGAATGGGAGATTATTACACATTTTATGTTTGTTACTGAACGATTTAGCGTTTCAGTATCCGGCAGCCGAATGCTTATCGCAGGTTAGTATTCCTACCAATAGCACTGAGCAGGTTTCTGTGGGTTCCACGGGCCCGTGCCTCAAAGGGGCCCCGCACGGTCCATTTCCGTTGTCTAATTGCAAATTACAAATTTAAGAAAAACCAAAATATTTTTTTTTTATTTTAGCTGTTAAAATTAGGTTCTGATGACTAAAAAAATGTGTAAAATTATGTGTGCTTGAGCTCTACATTTAATGATGAAGCCTTTTATTAAAAAATTGACTTTCCTCAAACGTAACGTTAAATTTTGGGTGTTCGTTAACAATTTTTTAAATTATGAATCCATCAAAAGAAAGATCGATCTTTTCTCTTTTAAATGACACAATACGATTTCGTAATAGTTAAAAATTGCAGAGTTACATTTGTGAAGAGGAAGGTTCAAATTCAAAAATTTTCTAAAAAGTTCAAAAACATATGGACTTTGGTATAGGGAAGATCGATGATAATTCTCATAGCAAATCCAAAAACACAATAAAAAACAGCTTTCTATTAAATTAATCCACTTCCGATTAACCGGAAATAATTTTTTTTAGACAAATATCATTATTAGAACTTCCAATACTTCTAATGTGGGATCTTTTTTATTAATATGTCTTTTTATATTATTTTAAAAGTTATTATTCTTGCATATTTTTTTAATAATATAAGAATAATAATTATTATTTTTAACACTGCCATGGTGGGTGTGTGGGCCCGTTAAGAGCTCAGTACGCCACTGATTCCTACACAGGGTTTTTCAGCAATCTCATGCGTTGTCTACCTTACCTATACCATTTGATCTGACCTGATTTTATCAAAAATAAAATTTAATCTAAGTCTTCAAAATTAATGCCAAATCACGGCCATTATCACTTTCTCTTAAATTTATAATTGAATCTTCTAAGACATTTTACTCTCTTTTATAAAACAGTTAGCACAATCGTTAAAATTTATAAAAAAAAAATCAGTTTAAATCTGACCATCTTGCAAACATGTTTCATTGGTTCTAAGACAACCGAATGGGCGGTACATATAAAAAATTATCGAGGCTTCAGTATACCCTACATTAGCAACTTATTTTCAAAGCCACAGGCCAGGTCCTATGATGTACAATTTATTTACATTGTTAAACGTTGAGTATTTACAAAATCGAATGAAATGTTTTTAATTACATTTAATTATTGTTCTACGTTCAAAATATTCTAATAATTGTGCTATCTAGTGTATAATGAAGGAAGTGTTTGCTGGATCACTACCTTATACATGAAATAATTTGAACCGTATTTGACTGCTTTTTTTTTCAGATTGTAAATAGAAAAGGTAAAGTTGACGAACGAAAACCGCTGTTGATCCTCTTTAACGACGAGCCTATACAGTGTTTAGTTTCGGCGGCAAAAAATCCCGGTGCCATTCTAGACGAACAACATTATTTATTTAAGAAGAAACTTGTACAGGTATTGTCACTGACAAATGGGTTTAGTTGACTTAGTTTAAATCGATTGTTTTAGGTTTTAGGGGGATTGACAACTCAACTTTGTATGTTATGGGGTAAAGATGCCATATCGCGTCCTAATAACTTTTCGGCCTTTTTGGAAGCAATTTTAGCGTTTAGTAGTCATCAGAGTTTAACTTTGGCTCATATGGCGAACCCTTTATGGAACAGCATGCTTAAACACGAACATATTTCTCGCGATCCTGTTTTTCTTTCCTACATTCCTCAGTGGGTTCAGTGTACCGCTCCGAAAATCGTCAAATTTAATTATCCGTCGTCGAAAGTGCAAAGCACGGACGCTGGGGGCGCTGCAGCCGCTTACGCTAAAGTAGATTTTGACAGCGAGGAAGAATTCTCGACTTATTTCTACCGATGTCGTAGTGATTTTCTGGATTCCTTCCGTCAGGCGACAGTTGTTGCTCCTCTTGTCACTTTCAATTACGTCGAACAATGGCTAATGAAATGCTTGCAAGTTCCTAATCTGACTTCCGGTTTAGTTCTGTCAGATCCACTGTTCCAAGAATGGGAAGCTCTGTCTACTTTCTTGGAGAGTATCCTAAGTCGGGTACTTCAAGCCCAAGAACGACCTTCCATAGCTTCCGGTTTGAGGTTATTACAGTTGTGTTTGGCTTATCAACCTGTGGATCCTCTAATACTCTCTACTTTATTAACTTGCATTTCCGCTCTTTTCGTCTTTTTGAGCATGTCAACGGGTCAGATGGCACCTACGGCGAATTCGGTGGCGGCGTCGGGAGCTGCACTTTTGCCACAAGTTTTGGATAAAATTTTTTCGACTTTGGTATACGCACCGGACGAACAGAGCAAAGATACGAGATCAAGAGCTGTCAAGAACGTGAGAAGACATGCAGCGTCACTCATGGTCAAAATAGGAAACAAATATCCGCTATTGTTGTTGCCAGTTTTCGATCAGATTAGAGCAACAGTGGAGAATTTGTCAAGGTCGGATAGTGTGGCTGGATTGAGTACGTTGGAGAAGGTTACATTGCAGGAGGCACTGCTTTTGATATCTAATCATTTTTGTGACTACGATCGTCAGAGTAATTTCGTGAGGGAAGTGCTAACAGAGGTAAGTGGATTGCTGGTTTTTTTGCTTTGAGTTTTCAATCTAATTTTTTTTCAGGCGAACACTCAATGGCGTCTCATTGTTGCCTCTGGCGCTTTTGAAAGCGCCTCTAAATTCATCTCGTTTGTCGGTCTCGACAAGCCCCCTGTCGCCCCGCACGCCGACAACCCTCACGGCCATAATCGCAGCAGCATCGTCTTTTGTATCAATCTTCTCTTAGGTGCCATCAAACGTTGCTCATGGCCAGAAGATCCCGAACGGGCCACTCGCGGCGGATTCGTCGTGGCTCTTACCGAATCCGGGAATCCCGTTTGCAGAAATCCGGCAGCTCCTCACGTCGTACCCCTTCTACCGGATATTCTTTCGCTTATCCGAGTTTTCAACGAACTGTTTACGTGCGAAACTCAGAATTTGATTCACGAGAGCTACAAAGGATGTCTGGGTATGCTTGAAACGGAAAAATCGAATCTTTTGGGTTTGATAGGGCATTCGGTGGGCGATTTGGGCGAATTACAAGCGGTACAGAGTCCGATGGAGAGGATGCAGAGGTTTCTGTTTGGACTACATGAGAGCTGTTATCATATGATTGGATCGATGGGACCTTCGTTGGGCAGGGACTTATATACCTTGCCTGATATAGGATTAGCAATAATTAACAGCGTTTTGGCATGTTTACAGGTATGTTTTATAATGATTGTCTCGACTTGGTTTCTTTCATTCTCAGCTTTGCCAGATTTTAAAATTAAGTTGGTAACATTGAATAAGAGTTGTGACAAAAGAAGTGTGTCAATACTGTATTAATGATATGAGGTTGTAGTTAGTGGACAATAAAATTGTGAGGTTCGTATTTTAGTTATTGTTTTCAAATTAAGATTTCGAATTTGCGCTCTACTTGACGTCAAAAATAACATAATAATAAATAATAATTAAAGTCTGTTTTTTTAATGGAAATGCCAAACAGTTTTAACGTTGTCATCACTAGTAAATTTATTCGTGGCAATTTTAATAAAGGAAATTGGCAATTCCGGTTTTTTGAATTAATTTCAAAACAATGTCAGTAAACGTCAACACAAAAAATCGTCTAAGAAAATTTAGAGACGAAACCAAAAAAGAAACAAATTCAGTACCGCTAACAGTTTTTAGAAATTTGGAAACAAATAGTTCGCAAGCAGGAAGTTAGAAAAAGGGCCCGTTAAAATGTAGACGCAATTTGTAATGCAGGTTTGCTAAACATTCTCAATTTTTAGCAAAAAAATMACAAAAATACAAAATAAACATGAATGAGAAAGATCCTCGGAAAGAACGCAATTAAATTAGTGTCTTGTGCATCGTTTTTGAGGAACGAGTTTAAAAAGTAACAATTTTGAAACTAAAACCGAAGAAGAATTTATAAAATGTATCAACTTTGAGCTCATTTTAATAAATTACACAAAATTTATTGCCAATCATCATAATACCTACTTGTATCTTTTGCTAAATAACTTTTTTCCGTATAAACATCCTTTTTCTTCAAAGTTTTTGTAGCAAGAACCTCATTTTTGTCCACAACATTGCACTTACTTGCGGTGTGTTTCTGTCAAAATTATTAGCATTGAATTGTGTCTTTTGACCTTAGGTAATGATGTCTGTCCTTATAGCGCTTTCAAAGAGCAAACAGGTACACAAGATTCATAAAACTCAAAATTTTGACAACATCTTAATTTGAACACATAACCATAATTTTTTAACAACATTTCTAGGGACAAAAACAAAGAGCAAACAAAATTTGTGGCTATGGAGACAAGCTGCTACCAATTTTTTCACCAAAATTTTGACTTGGTAATTTCCATTAAAAAAAAAACAGACTTTACAGTCAGTCTACATTATCCAATATTGCCAACTTAATGTGAAAATCACTATGACGCTTCCTATTTTTTTACAAATTGTATTTATTTTTCAGTATATCCCGGATTATAGAATGCGACCCATCATTCGAGTATTTTTGAAGCCTTTTATATATTCATGTCCTACGCCATTTTATGAAGCTGTGCTTTTGCCCATCGTTGCTCATATAGCGCCTCTAAGTAAAATTAAATGTTTGTTTAATATATCAGACTTATTGGTAATGTTTCAGTGTTGTCACGTTTGCACGCAAAATGGCTGCAAGTGAACGAATTTCGCAATCGGGAAGGGCAAGAAGACAACGCTGATACTCAAGAAGTTCTTGAAGATATTTTAACACGAGCTCTAACTCGTGAATATTTGGATGTACTGAAGGTGGCGCTAGTGGGTGGTGGACTCACCCCCGAAACAAATACCGAAAACATGGAAACTGAAGATCTGAGTATGGATTCGCCCACACCGCCTCCTCCCACACGGTCGAATTTAACAACAGAGGTTATATCTGATTTAGGTTGGCAACTTTTTATAAAAAGTACGACAAATTTTCTAATTCCATGTTGTAGGTTTGGTTCTTTTGCGTAGTGAGAAAACTTGTCAGTCGATAGTGTTGGCAGTACTGGGGGCGTTGTCGTGGATTGATAGTAATGCTTCTTTGAAAGCAACTTTTCTGACTGGACCTATAGTTAGACAATTGGTTTCTGACAGTTCTTTAAACGGAGAGATGGCAGCACATATTATGGCGTCCGTTTTGAATGCTCTTACTTTACATGGACAACATGAAGCCAATCAGGGGTCTTTGCTGACTTTAGGTGCGCAAATGTACGAAATGTTAAGGCCTACTTTTCTCGAAGTACTCGGAGTGATGCAGCAGATTCCGGGCGTAAATCCAGTTGATTTACAAAAGTTGGATGAAAGAATTTCGGGTAGTACAAGTAAAGGAAATAAAGTCGAGAAGGTTAAGAAAGATTTGTTTAAGAAAATTACCGGAAATGTAAGTCGTATTTTGGTACATATTTGTGATTTATATCTTGTTTTTAGTTGATTGGAAGAAGTATGGGTCAGCTTTTTAAAAAGGAAGTTAAGATTCATGATCTACCCAGTTTAGCATTTGCGAAAAAACCACAACCAAAAGAAGTTACACCTGATTTGCAAAATGTGTTTAGTTAATATTGTCTTAAATATTATCTAATGTTTGTTATTTATTTAATTTATTGTACAACATTCCTTGTTGTTCAATTCTCAAGACCGACTGCATCTTTATCATGATCAATCAATGCATTCTTTTGTATATATTGTTGTGATTTAATTTTATTTACAATCTTATCTTGGTCTCTAATAAATAGTAATTTTTCAAACGATTTTTAATGTATTTTTTTGACCACTAAATCTTATTTTTGTGGCTTTTGTAAAATTGAAAACGACAATAATCAAAAAAATATGTATACAGGGTGTATCAAAACTTGCGCCCCAAAGAAAAATTTCAAATAAGATAAGATATCAGGAACATGGAAAAAATGTTTAAAAAATTCTATCTGTCAAAAAATTTTGATATTTATTTTTTTATGTATTTTTAATGATACAGATGATCCTGTATATGTTTTTTTTACAATTATTTAATAAAGGTACAAAAATTTTGCCAATAAAAGCCACATATAACATTGAACAGAGTTACAATTTAGGATACAGCTTACTTGTTTCCTCTTCTACTATAATAGCGTGTAGCAAAAAAACTTGGAAAATTATTTCTCCAACAGAAATAAATAGAGTCAAAGTGCAAACTTTAAACTCTCATAATTTTTATAGATAAAATTTTTTTAACATTTTTTCCATGTTCCTGGTATCTTACTTTGTATGGCATTTTTCTCTGGGGCGCGAGTTCTTGCGCATTCTGTATAATTTGTACCACCAAATCACTAGACTTGCCTGAAAATCACTAGATATGGCCTGTTGACAGATGACAAGTTAACCATTATTCTGAGTTAACCTAAAATACGCGCCAAAACTTTCAGTCATAACTCAATCAATATTGTAATTTTAAGCAAAAATGCAGGCATTTCTAAAGTCAGGCAAGTTGGACAGCGGTGAAAAATCTGGACAGTCAACTCCAAAATCATCAAAAAAATCTAAAGCTGTACCCTGGGTTGAAAAATAGTACGTAAAAACCTTCAATATCTTTTGTCACATTACGTCCATTGTAGTCGTCCCAGGACAGTCTCGGATGTTGTGGAACAAGGTGAGGCAGTTTCTGTGTTACAACAGTGTATCTCAGGTGCCGATTTGCCAAATTTGTTGTTTTACGGCCCCCCTGGCACCGGTAAAACCAGCACAATTCTCGCAGCTGCAAGACAGCTATTTGGGGATTACTACAGAGATAGAATCCTTGAACTGAATGCTTCTGACGAAAGAGGAATTCAGGTTATTAGAGATAAAGTAAAGACCTTTGCACAACTAACAGCTAGCGGTACAAGGCCTGAGTAAGTTTTGCTAATAAGTTGAAATAATTATACAGTGTAAAATTTTAAGTGGTAAATCATGTCCTCCATTTAAAATCGTTATCTTGGATGAGGCCGACTCAATGACACATGCGGCTCAGGCTGCTTTACGTCGAACAATGGAAAAAGAGTCCAGATCTACCAGGTTTTGTCTAATTTGTAATTACGTTTCAAGGATTATTGAACCGTTGACATCAAGGTGTACGAAATTTCGATTTAAACCTTTGAATGAAGCTATGATTTTTGAGAGATTGACTTTTATATGTGGAAAAGAAAATGTTGAATGCAGTGATGAGACTTTAACTGCTTTGGTCGAGACCAGTGGAGGCGATATGAGGAGAGCCATTACCTCATTGCAGAGTTGTGCTAAACTGAAGGGAAATGGCATTCCAATTACTGTAGATGATGTACTAGAAGTGACTGGTGTATGTTGCTTGTTTTTACTATATATTTTTTACTTTAAAAATGTTTATAGGTTGTTCCAGAGCGGTGGTTAAAGGAGTTTTTAGATGTTTGTAAAACTAAAGACCAAAATAAGCTTCAAGCGTTTTTGGAGGAAATGATGTATGAAGCGTATGCTGCTTCACAGGTAATTCACCCACTTTTTTTTCAATGTTCCCAATTACGTGTTTAATATTTTAGATTCTGGAACAGCTAAATCAGTACATCGTTAATTTTGATGGGTTTAATGATCAACAGAAGGCTGCCATTGGTCAAAAATTGGGGGTAAATATTATGGGTTTATGTTACGCACAAGTTTATGTATTTTATTTTTAGGTCGTCAGTTTTAAGTTGCAAGATGGTAGTTCAGAATTTATTCAGTTGCTTGATTTGGGGTGTTCCGTAATTAAGGCATATTGTATCGTGTGAAGTTCTTATTGTATCTCTTTACATTTTGTATTTAAATTGTCATTTTTAAATAAATTGAATTTTTTGTATTTTTTTATAGAAATTAAAACTTAGAATTTTTTCTTCTAAAATTATGAAGTTTATTACTATGTATTTAGTACAATTGGAGACAAAATGTACTTAAGTGAGTACGCAAGTGCGTAGGAAAATTTTAAAATGTATTAGAAAAAATAAAAAGAGGAACAAGTAAATTATTTACTCCCAAATTAGGCAACCAAAAAAACAGTGACATGACAAAATAAAATTTAGTGCTCTCTTTTAGATTTAGAGGTCAGAGAATCCTGGAAGGACATCGATTGGCAGTGGCGTAACACAAAACCATCCTGTGGTAAAAAGAGAAATGTAGAGTTGATTTTTTTTTCCGTATACAGGATGCGCCAGAACTCGCGCCCCAGAGAAACATGCCATATGAGGTAAGATACCAGGAACATGGAAAAAATTAAAAAAAAAATTTATCTATAAAAATTTAGAAGTTATGAGGGTTTAAAGTTTGCACTTTGACTCTATTTATTTCTGTTGGAAAAATAATTTTCCAAGTTTTTGTGCTATAGGCCATAAAAAGACGAACAATAAGTAACGAATAGATTCGTTTATTAAAAATATAAACATATTAAAAAACAATTTTTGTATCATAATTAATTGTAATTAATTTTTCAAATTTAACATTCATAAGATACCTCTGTTATATAACTATATTAATCATTTTTAGCGATGTTTGTTTCCATACCTAGTCGATAAGATGTAAGAAGATGAACCCTCACCAATCAATGACTCTTGTAATAAAATTTACAGGGCAGTACTCAAGGGGATTCAAATCCCCTAATCGCCCCCAAATGCTGAGCACTTTGTTATTATAGTGTTATAAGTGTTAAAAATTTATTCCATTCTTTTGTTATTTTAGTAAGTTATTTTTTAATTTTTGTGAAGTGTTCCATTTTTATTGTTAAGTACAAATTTAAATAGATGATAGAATAATCAATTTTAAGGTAAAAGTTTCCTATAAACATGTTTTGAAAAATGCTATGAAAGGGAGCTACACCCCCTACTAAAAAGGGTGCGTTTTAAAAAGGGCTTTTCCAAATATGTATTTCAGAATAGGTAAAATTAAAAAGTTTCGTACAGCTGATAACCTTTATATGTACACCTAAACGAATACCAAATGGCAAAATTTTTAGTCAGAGGTGTCCTAAGCCGTAAAACAAATTTAATTTTTAATTTTTATGTTGTTTGTGGTCTGTTACATAACTTTTAAAACTCTGATTTCACTCAAAATCGGTAAGTTGTATAGGACAAACGCAAAAGAGGGACAGCAAAATACTTCGAGTACTTTTTACCCTAAATGCACCTAGTTTAGGAAGCCCCTAATTAAAAATTTTAACATTTTAACTTTGAACTCGTTTAGATGTATAAAGGTTATCATCTGTACCAAATTTTGAAATTTTTTTCTAAAATGGTGTTCGAAATATTGGAAAAAGCCTCTTGAGATATATGTATGTTCATTCATAGGAAACTTTTGTTTTAAAATTGAATATTCTATCTCCTGTTTAAATTAAACAATAAACCGTATAGTTTTATAAGTATTAAAAATTTCTTTTTTTTTATTACTTTTGTGAGTTAATTTGTATTTTTTATGTTTAATTAGGATCTCTTATTTCAATTTAAAATATAAACGTGTGCTTAAAGATGAGCAATTGCTTTTTAATCCGCCTTCTTTCATTCTGTTTTCATGGACCAACAAGAAACCCCGAAATAAAATCCTGATTACGGCCCTAAAATTAATTAGAAAATTAAATTAAAGAATACTTTTGTATTACATATCTATTATAAATACTTACTTCAGACAATTTCTGAATTTTTATTTGTCAAATTATAACATAATCTCATAATTTTTAGACTGTAGACTGCAATCTATGATTTTGTTTCATTTTTGTCAATGTTTTAATTTTCGTTTGAAAGATATGAAAAAAAAAAATTAGAACCATAGATTAAAACCAAAACTTCAAATAAATACACGCCACTGCTTCGCATCCCTTCTAATTTCCCAAACTCTACTTAGCACGCAATCAAGGACTGCAACCAGTCTATCTCTGTTGTTCTATGGTTAGTAGTTATTTCGGATTTTTCCTGCGTTGTGTGTGGAAAAAGTGTGGTGTTTTTGAGACATTTGGCTTGCCACCTCTTGTATAAATAAACATTTTGGGTGAAAATACATTTCTAAAGTGTGATAGTTCATGTTTCAGACTTTTGTCCTGTGCTTTTTTCTTCCAATTAGGTTTGAAAGCTTGGAAGTGTTTTTTGCCGGTTGATTGCCATTTTTTGGTAAGTTTTAATTAGGTTAATTTGTTTCTTTCTTTATATGAAACTTAGGAAAGAATCATACGATGACCTCTTTAATAGGTAAAGCTCTAAATCAAACATGTGACTGTTTAAGGTTATGTCGGTTTATGTCTTAGAATTATTACGATTGTGCTTAGAATAATCGCGTGAGACCTGAGACAGCAACTAATCAGACGTTTTGTGGATATTTGTTACTTCCCAGACAACACAAAAATACTGGGTTATTCACGAGAGAGTTAGGTATGTTTGAATTTTTTTTCCCGCAACTAACAATACTAATATCACTAAGTATAGTCGTCACCAGGAATATTTGGGATTGACGTATGCAAAGCTTTATTGAGGGTTAAGCAGCTTTGTGGTCGACCGTAATAATTTTTCACTGCGTGTGGTACTACCCAGAAGATGTAGAAAAGAGCCGTATTCAGGAATTTTTGTGGTGGGCTTTTAATTTATTACAGGCAAACATTTGGGAATTAATATATTAATTCAATATTAAAGTGATAATGCAGATTTGTAAAGAAACAATCTCAAAATATAACTGAATATTAAAATTAATTTAATTTTTTTTTTGATGAAACCCCAAAAACAAATTTCTGTTACGGACCATCTCTTCCTACAAACCTTTGAAACGTGCCTGTCCTAAGAAATGCAAATTTGTTTATGGCATCTCTACCGCAAGCCCCATGAACCACCGTGGGGACTAAGCGGCTTATTCTATAATGAGTCTCAAATATTGTTGGTGACGACCACAGAACAGAGAGAATAAGAAATGAAATCTCCCTAGAAAATCATTGGCAACACGAGTCTCTGGTGGTCAAGTGCGTTACTAACACGGAATGGCGCGGCATTTAAATAGACCGCCTTCATTTTCAATTATTATTATTATCTTGCAAGTTTGATTTCAAACTTTGTTTAAAATGAAAATTAAAAAATTTTCATTTTAAACAAAATTTGAAATGAAACTTGCCATTATTAAATTGTTTCAAGGTAATAAAACAAATTTTTTGTTAAACTTTTTTATTGTAAACTATCAATAACAAAATAATACAACAAATCAAATTTCTCTGAAAATTAAATTATTATTAACGTATTATTATTTATAAAATCAGTCAGTGTCTGATGTGCATAGATGAATAATTTATATAGGGTATATAGATGGCGTACTCATGTACAACCTTTTGAACTCGTATTCAGCAGCGCSTCTGTAGTTTGGACGCTGAACTATAGAGCAAAATGTGCCTTTTTTAAATGGTAACAATAATTTTAATTGAGTATTTAGTAGAGGGAAATAAGTGCTACTGGCATCTTATTAGAGATTAAACAAAGAAAATAAAAGATTTTTTTAAAGTAATTTATTGAAGATATTGAATCAAATTAGTTAACAAGGTGGTTTCATACTTATAGGGATTATATTAGAACAATTATGTTCAAAAAGGAAGCATAAACAGTCTGGGTTGTCGAGTTCTTGTCACAAGGGTGCCGGCCGAAACAAATCTTCACATTTTTTCCATCAATGTCCACATTTTCATCACCAAAATTCACAAATTGTTAGTAAAACTTCCTTTACTTGTACACACAGCCAACAATAACTGAATAAAAATCTAAAAATCACAACTACACGTAAGCACTTTGAATTTCTATGAATAATGTCACCGTCAAAATTTAATTTTTTTCTATCAGAAGTGTCACAGCCAACCGCTAAAATTTTAAAATTTTGATACGAGCGCCTCTGGTGTTTGGACGCTAAATTAAATAGATAGACTGAATTCACCAATCTAAGAAACCATAGCATGCTGATGTGTCAGGCAGTGTCAGGCAAAACATGCCAAATCTGCCCTTGAAAGTCTCATTTTGTTTAAAATGCCATTCTTGTCACCTTCATTCAAGAAAGCAAACTTTTTGCACCTCCCAGTGATTGACAATAATTATGGTCTTGTTGAACATTCTCGTTGCTTATTATTTCATTGTTTGCAAAAAGAGGAAGTGGATGAGCAAAACATCTTGCGTTGGATGTTGAAGGCAAATTGCAAGTACAAGACGGATGATTTATTGAATTTTCCACAAAACTATCATCTGCCACAGAAAGATTTGTTTGTGAAATGTCAACAAACTTCTCTTGTGAAGCCAAAACACAGGGCTTGGGAATTACATTTGGATTTAATCTATCCTTCCTCTCATTCACAAAATCGCGGCGTTCAAAATGATCCTCACATAAACGCCAAAACTTAACCTTCAATTTTGCAGGCATTCCTCCACAATTCGTGAAGCTTTGGGTTTTTAGGGAACGTGAAGAAGTGCTTGTTGGCATGTCCTTCAACGGAGTTCGGCACGTATTCACTGGTGCAGCCAGGGTACTTGCAGAAATATTTTCGATAACCAGCCATGACAAAAGTTTACTTGAGTATCAGAAATCAAAAATCCGTCACTCCAGCCCAAAGGACGATTCCTTTGTAAAAAGAAACAAAAATTAAAAAGACGAAGTTTCACCGAGTGAAAAGATACTTATCTTTTAATTGGCTTCCAACAGCACGAATTCACTCACCGACAGACTACTGTAATCGAAATTTTATGGTTTTGTTTAAGTAATAAAACAAATAATTGCTGAATAATTACGATAACACGCGACAACACACAACAACAAAAGTTTGGCACTTTTGGCGCGTACTTTTTGCGCAAACGTAAATGTCATTTTTATGTCAAAAACAGGAATTCATAAAATCCCTAAATATTACGCGCTTATTTTAAAATACTCAGCGCTTATTGGTTGTTCCTTTTCACCTCTCTTTAAGTACAAAATACCCCTCGCCCATACTTTCGTGTTGCCAATGCGCCTATCTCAGTTTCATACCCGTGGTGACGACTATAGTATGTAGGCCCCTTCAGCACACAGCAGTGACGGCTCGTGATCAAGAATAATGGGTCGGCCAAATTTACGGATAGCTCTAATTAGCCAAACTAATTTTTTGCTCTCAGTCGGATGTTATTTGTAATAAGTCACACAAATGTTTATTGTTAATAAATGTGTATCAAAAATTAAATAAAATAAACAAAAAATTAATTCGCCCAGCAAGAACCACGAGGAGGTTTAGAGCACTTCTTGCTAGGAAAAGGAAAGGATCGGGAAAGGTAAAACATGAGAAAAATGTTTTGCTAAGGAACAAAAGAAATAAACATATTATTAGTAACAATAAAAAAGTTAAGTTTTCATTCTAATACGGAGTTGCAGAACATGGAAGTAAAGAAAAAACAATAATATGTAGTTAATAAAAATAAAGATAAACTCTAAAAACAAAACAAAAATATATTACTCTGTTAATACTAAACAAAATTAAAAAAATAATAGAATAAAGTAAAAAAGGTAGAACACAATTCAAAATAGCTTTGAAGTGCAAAACAAAAATAAATTATAGTAATACTCTAAAAACAAAACAAAAATATATTTTTCTGTTAATAATAACAAAATTTAAAAAATAATAGAATAAAGTAAAAAGGTAGAACACAGTGCAGAGTAGTTTTGAACTGCAAAACAAAAATAAATTCTAGTAGGTAATGCATACTTAAAAACATGCAAATACAACAACTACAAACTAATGTGGTATCTGATGGTGTCTGATAATAAATAAAGATTCCAGATTATTGATTCTTATAGATTAACTCGATTCTACGGGGTTTAGCTGCCGCAAAGTCTATAATTTTATTATAAAAATTGTCATCTTTCAGTAATTCTTTTACCAATGTTCGTTCAATTCCTAATATTGATAAATTATTTAAACACGTTTGCAACATAGTGTTTCTGCTATATGTTTTAATGCCGAAAAATTTCTTTCTACCGAAGCTGATGCTGGTGGAAGAGACAATATTAAACAAAAAAGTTTATATAATGATATTAATGATATTATTTTTAAAAATGAATTCTACCATATCTTTTGTGTTTGATGAATTGCCAAAAATTGTTTTATCGGCATATAAAACTTGCAATTCTCTTTTTAATTTTTCCTTATTAAAAATGTATTTGTAAATACTAATTAAAGAGTTAAATTGTCTCTCTGGAAAGCTTTTATCAAATTCGGAGAATTTATTATGGTCAACTAATTCCTAAAGAGTAAGCGAGGACATATCTTTAAATCGAGTTTCAATTTGGTTAATCAGCAAATCTAAAATTTCAAAAAAAAGACGCTTTTTATTTATCATAATATCGCTGTCGTCATTTAATTCAGATTTACGCCGTTTTGTACGTGGGGGAAGTATATGTGAAATTTTTTCAACATCAGAATATATGTTTAAAAAATAATTATCTTGACGTCGAAATTTTCTTAAAGAAGACAAAAGCAAATTGATTCTTTCATTACAATACTTTATATCGGATAATTTAGTTTGAATTATCGCAAAAACCGGATCAATGTAAGTGAATATAAAATTGAAAGCGTAAAGCAGAAACATGAAGTCAAAATCGGTTAAAAAAAATTTAAAACCCACAGATTCTCTTACTGAAATATCATRCCATTCGTTTAAATTTTCAATAATGTTATCAAAAACTTCAATTAACGAGATTCTGTGATCAAATAAAGTTTTTACAATGCAAGACTTAAAGTTCCAGCGAGTTTCCGAGTTACTAGGTAATCTTTTCTTACAAATCTGGTCGATATTAAAATTTGAAAAATTGTGAATCAGTACATTAAAAATGTCATTTGCAGCTCGACCTTCACTAACATTAAAAAAACCAAGAAACCGCTCTAATAGTTTGCCATCGAGAACAAAACGAAAAATAATAGACATTTGTGAAAAACAACGAATATCCGTTGTTTCATCTATTTCCCACGAAAAACACGATGCACTATTTATTTCTTTGTGTATTGTTTGAAGTACAATTTTGGCTACAGAATCAATTAATTCATTTTGTATGGTTTTGGATAATCCCGTAAAAACAGAAGACGGATCTATAAACTTAGAAAAATTTTCATCTAAAGTCGCAGCAAATTTCGCTAACTCTTTAAAATTTCCTTGGTTATCCGAATTTATTCTTTCGTCATTACCGCGAAACGCTAATTCTAATAATCATATTTATTAAATGTTTAATCATTTTTCGATTTTCTTTTACTGTTTCGTTATGTTTATTTATAACTTCTCGTCGGGCACTATCTAAAGCATTAACGATATTTTGTTTTCCGAACAGTTTAAATTTTAAGGCCGAATGGGTGTGCTCCTTTGAAATTTGGTGTTTCAACAATGCACGATGAACT